TGAGTTCAAGCCCTGCATTGGGCTCTCTGCTGTCAGTGCAGAACTTGCTTCGGATCCTCTGTCTCTCCCTCTCTCTGCCCCTTCCCTGTTCATGCTCCCTCTCTAAAATAAACATTAAAAAAAATTTAGGGCACCTGGGTGGCTCAGTTGTTAAGCATCTGACTTCAGCTCAGGTCATGATCTCATGGTTTTTGAGCTCATGCCCTGAATCGGGCAAGCCCCGCTTCTCTCTCTCCCCCTCAGTGTGCCTCATGTGATTCTCTCTCTCTGCCACTTGCTCACTTGCACTCTCTCTCTCAATAAATAAATAAAATACATAAAAATAAATATGCTTTTCTTAAGTATGGGGTCAATATGCTCGTTAGGTTTAATTTAACCTTATGTTGCTAAAGCTTAGTGCTAACATAATGTGAAATCCTTACCTTTAGCATAAGCTGAGACATTTCCTTGAGCTTTTCAGCTGTGTAATATTGGCGATGTAATAAAGGATGATTGGCCATTTTTCTCAACTGCATCATTACATTGCACATCTCTGTATTTTTTTCTGTGATCCAAAGAACATGCATTAAACAAAACCCCAAAACCAGGAAACCCACTTTAGATCCTGTTTCTCCCCTCTCTGCCCCTCCCTCACATATGCATGCTCTCATTCTGTTTCTCAAAAATAAACATTAAAAACAAAAAAACCCACAAAACCCAAGCTGATGTTTGCTGAAATATACCTCAATGCAAACAAAAAGTTTATTTCTTCAAATTCTAACTATTTTTTTAAAAATGAGCAAATCCCACCATAACATGACTAAACAAAATGTAGCCCCAGTACAGATTATTTTTCACATGAAATTGTGAAAGTCAGATGATACCCATATTATTGATAGATTTTTTTAATCTGTTGAAAAGACCCAAATACAGTTGCTCCTGTTTTTCTGACATTGCACACAATTCAATTCGATCTTTCTTGGGAGGTAGCTGCTTGAGAACCTGAGAAAGGAAAACAGTTTAAGCAGATCATTCAAATAAAGAAGAAAACAGATTTTTAAAAAGCAATCATAATAAAAAAATATGCCAATAAGAATTACCTCTTCTTTTACTCTTCTGAGAATAAATGGTTTTATAATTTGTTTTGCATGTGCTATTCTCTCTTTTTCATATATACTTTGCTCATCTGCTGATTTCTAAGTAAAAAAAGAACATATCCTTTTAGAAATTACTTATTTAAATGATCACAGTAACAACATTACATAACATGAAAATCATCCTCACTATCATCAGGAGTTATTTTCCACAGAAATGCACTTCATTCTAGATGGAATATCCACATGTCAACTCTGGGCTATAATCTACCTCTTCAAGCTCCACATGTATTTTGAGGTTTCATGTATTCTGCTAAGCTAACGAAACTGAACTGTTCTAGGATGGTGTTCAGAATCATTAAGTCATAACTAATGAGTCGTAACAAATTATACCAGGTCTCATGAAAAAGTGTGTGTGTG